CAAAAAAAACAAAAAAAACAAAAAAAAAAAAAATTAATTAACCCACATACACACACACACAAAAAAAAACCGGGGGGGTGGGGTGGGGAAGAAGATATAACAACTATACTTTCATGAAGTTGTTACAACAAGCAAACGGAAAGGACATTCTTGGGGGGAGGGGAGAGAGGGAGGAGGGAGGGAGGTGTCGGTGATGGGCCATAATAATCATATACATTGTATATTGACAAAATAAAAATTTAACGAAAAAAAAAATAAATTACTTCTATAAATTATACTGCATCAAGAAAGTACTTGATATGTAGAAGGATCTCACTGAGAGATAATGACTGAATGATATAATTTTTTTCTAGCCATTTCTATTCAAACTCTAAGAGATTTGCTTTCAAATGATATGGCTCAGGGGAGATGGAAGTCAAATTAGTGGAAAATGATCTCTCCTATTTGCATGTTTACAGACCTGAATTCATCCATGAAGTCATTACCACAAATGGAAAATTGCAGCAAGTGTCAACGATAAATGGACATCATTTGTTTATTCTGGAAATTATATAGTAGCTGACTGCAAGTAATAAACATATTCATGAAGAGCTGTATCTCTTAAGAGAACTGTTTGGTTTAGTACTGAAATTACACTATAAAAAGAACAAACCATTCTTTCACAAAGATCTCTGAAAGTCTATCACATAGCAGAATTTTGGCTATATATTCTGGAATTGATAAAAACATATATCAAAAGAATAGTAATTGGATGCAACTATTTGGCTGTAAAGCTGTCAGTGAGGTACAACATCAGAAATATTATCATGGAAATGTCAACTGGAATGAAGATCTCCTTTCTGGTACTGGCAACAGGAGAACTTGTATTAGGGATGCTGGGAAACGGGCTCATTGGACTGATCAACTGCATCGAATGGATGAAGAGTCGGAAGGTCTCATCAGCTGATTTTATCCTCACCAGCTTGGCTATGGCCAGAATCATTCAACTGTCTATAACACTATTTAATTCATTTATAGCGGCGTTAAGTCCTCATCTGTATGCCACCGGTATACTAGCAAATCTGGTTAGTATTCTTTTGACACTAACTCATCACTTGACTACCTGGCTAGCTGCCTGCCTCAGCATTTTCTACTTGCTGAAGATAGCCAACTTCAACCACTTCTTTTTCCTGTGGCTGAAGGCGAGAATGAACAGAGTGGTGCTTGTTGTCTCCCTGGGGTTTTTGTTTTCAGTGTGTGTTAACTTTTTAATTCTGGAAGCTTTCGGTGAGTTGGGGATAAATACCTTCCACGTACATGAAAGGAACATGACTGTGCATTTCGTTGTATGTGAAATTTTCTATTTTAAAAGCCTTACTCTTTTCAGCTTGACTTTTGTCATCCCCTTTCTTCTTTCCCTGACCTCTTTGCTCCTTTTATTACTGTCTTTGGTGAGACACACCAAGAATATGCAGCTCAACTCCATGGGCTCGGGGGACTCCAGCACAGAGGCCCATAAAAGGGCCATGAAAGTGGTGACCACCTTCCTCATCCTCTTCATTATTTACTTTTTTCCCACGGTAATAGGAAGCTGGATCTTCCATAAAGTACAGAGCTATGAGGTCATGATGTGTTTTGTGGTCATTTCAACTGCCTTTCCCTCAGGCCACTCATTTATTATAATTTTGGGAAACAGGAAGCTAAGACAGAGCTCCTTGAGACTACTGTGCCATCTTAAATTCTCTCTGAGAAAAGCAAAACCTTTAATTTCATAGACAGAATTTAAAATTACTTTTTATATCTGTGGGAAAATATCTATGGGTTAATTTTATGTTTGACGTTTCTTTCTTTGGGTCTTTTTAATTGTTGTTAAACAATCCTGAACTTTCCCTTACAATATGCAGTTAACTAATCATATTTTCACAAAGTCATCTGACATAGCGTTTGATTAAAGGAAATATCTCTGCCATAATAACACTTGTTGATAATGAAAGGGTATTTGAGACTTGAAGAAAAGAGATTATGTGAATTTATAATGCAATATGAATAAATGTATGTAAAATCAGAATAATAGCTTTTCTTTCTCTCTTTTTAAATCACAATAGTAGAAAGAAAAAAGAATAACATGCAATTTTTAAAATGAATGGTAAATTCCAATTAGGATACCAGAAAGACTTGTAAAATTTTAAGTATAATTAAGTGCAATAATATTTTAGATAAATATAAATGACTGAATGTTAACTGATTTACTAACTTTGGAAAGATTATGAGTCAGTGAATTTTAATTCATCACTCATAGGATTATAAATTGGTGTAACTTCCTTGGCCAGCAGTAGGGCATTTTCTTATTAAGGTGAATTTGCACAACCTAAGATTGAGTATTTGCACTCCTATTTTTATGCCCTAGAGCATCTTTGGTTCTTGTGCACCAGGATACATATTCAAGAATGTGCATGTCATTCTTGTTTTCAATAGCTGCAGTTTAGAAGTCACCTAAATGCACATTTGCAATAAAATGGGTAAATAAATCATGGCATTCTTATATAATAGAATACTATATAGCAATGAAAATGAAAAAATGTACAGCTACGTATTTACAATTGGATCTATATAACAAAGAAAATGAACAAATGTTGGTCTACAAATAATGATGAATATAGAAAATTTGAGGAAGTGTTAAGATACCATTAAAAATTCAGTATAATGTAGTTATATGATTTTTGAAAATAGGTAAAATTATAGTTTTTACAATTTATTACATTGATGGAGAAACTCTAAAGCAAACAAATTAGTGATTATCATAAAAATTGGGATAGTAGGTAGGGAGAGGAGAGAATGGAAATGGTACAAAGAGGAAGGAATATAAGCAGAGTGTCTGCATTGCTGGCAAATTCTATCTTTTGAACAAGGTGTGATAACGTAGGTGGTAATGTTATAATTTTTTTCTTTTACTGTGCATTTAGGTCTCATTATTTTGTATATGTGTGTTATGTTTCAAAATAAAAATGTTTTAAAAAGCAGAAGAAGAAAGTGAATATAAAACTGAGCTGTAACAAAATACTGTCATAGATGGTATGGTAATTTGAGTTCTTGCTAAATAAAGAGGAGGAGAGAATTATGGTAGTAGAAAAATCCAAGTTAAAATTTAAAAAATTTTAAGAAAATTGATTGAAGAAAGGAAGAAATGAGCAGAAATTTGACATCCATATTCTTAGTATTAGTCTTAATTTTAAACTTCGAATGTTAAATATCTAGATATTCCTAGGCAGCTCTTTCTACTTTCCAATTTATTTTTCTTAATGTACATTTCAAAGAGGCAGAAATTAAATAATTTCCAATGAATTCCATGATATATCTCTAATACTTACACAAATCGTCCCTAAATTTATCCCTAAATGAAAAAATACTCATATTGCTACCTCCGAAGATTATATCACAATCACACATTAAGAATGCGTGTGTGCGTGTGTGTGCGTGTGTGTGTGTGTGTGTGTGTGTGTGTGTGTACGACTATATGCATGTGCACATGTATGAGTTAGGGAAAATATTTTGTTAGTATAAAATTTTTTAGTTCCTTGTTGGAGATAAAAAGACAGAAACATAGAAAGGTAAATTTCTTAAAATATAATACATGGAAAGTCTTTGAATAGTCTTATTAAAGGGCATAAATAATTGGGACCAAAAATCAATCACCCACAGTCTCCAAGGCTTAACTGTCTTTACCATAGATGTCAATAAAGATAAAAGTGGAAAATAATAAAAACCTAAAACAGTGCAGATGAGCAATGAAATGAAAATAAATTGATCCAAAGAGAGAGAAGACACAAAAATATTTTTAAAAGTAGAACAAATGGAGATTAAAGATTTAAAAAATAATACAATGAATAATTTTATGACAAAAGTAAAACATTCAAATTCTATCAACAATTTTAGAAAACTGTTGATTATTGGAATTTTCCTGTGAAGAAATAAACTTTCATATGTCAAAAATAATATAAAAGTTTCATTATGTTATTATCCTTTCCCAAAGAAGGTCTTTTCCAGAGAGTTTTAGGTTAAATTTTTACCAGACTTGGATGCATAAGAAATTTTTTATTTCTAAAAAAATATTTCATAGATCAAAAAAGTATGGAAAGCTAAATCATTTATTTTATGATGGTAGAAACTGAGCAAAATTTGTACAAGGAAAAAAATATAGAGGTTCCGCCTCTAAAGATAGTTACTTTTCTCCATCCTCTTTTTCTTTGGTTAAAGTGGAGAATTCACAGAGCGGTTATTTTTATTATTATTATTTTCTGGGATTTTTGCTCTTCTTCTTTATTAGCATTCTGTTGATTGTATGGTTCCTGTTGTTTTAAATCTAGAAATGGATAAGACTTGGAAGATTAAAATGTCTCAAGCTCAGACTGTTACTTTCTTAGTGCTCATTAGTATTTCCATAGCCTCATTTCTTCTGATACTTCTTTCACTTTGGAGACCTATCAGGAGGACAAATTTAGTTTTAGTATCACAGGGTGTCAAGATCCCAGCAGTGAAGTGCAAGTGAAAGCTGTGAGAATGGTGATTTCTTTCTTTTTTGTCTTCTTGATTTATGTCCTGTGGATTCTTAAAATAATTTACAGCTATTTATAGTCCCCTAGCAAGCTGATATTCACATTTGTTAAATTAGTAGTACCTTCCCATGCTTTAGGCCATTCGTGTATCCTAATATTAGGAAACAGCAAGATGAAGCACATTGTTCTTAGGGTTTGGGGGCCACCGAAGTGCTAAGGGGAAGAAAAACAAACTCATAAAAAGTGACCCTCTTACAGATAATAGAGGAAAATAAGTATGTTAAAAATGTGTGGGGAGTGCTGCAATGAACATTGGGAAACAGGTATACCTTCGACTTGATGATTTCCATTCCTTTGGGTATATTCCCAGTAGTGGGATAGCTGGATCGTATGGTAGATCTATCTTCAGCTGTTTGAGGAACCTCCAAACCATTTTCCATAGGGGTTGCACCATTTTGCATTCCCACCAACAATGTATGAGAGGTCCTTTTTCTCCGCAACCACGCCAGCATTTATCTTTCAGCATCTTTTGGATTCACGATCAAGAGGGATTCATCCCAGGGAAGCAAGGTTGGTTCAACATACGCAAATCAATAAATGTGATCCACCATATTAATAAAATCAAACACAAGGACCATATGATCATCTCTATTGATGCCGAAAAAGCATTTGATAAAATCCAACACTCATTCATGACAAAGACCCTTTATAAATTAGGTATAGACGGAAAGTATCTCAACATAATCAAAGCCATATATAATAAACCCACCGCCAATATCATCCTGAATGGGGAAAAACTGAAAGCATTTCCTTTAAGAACAGGAACCAGACAAGGATGCCCACTCTCACCACTCCTATTCAACACAGTATTGGAAGTATTAGCCAGAGCAATCAGAAAAGAGAAGGAAATAAAGGGCATCCAGATTGGAAAAGATGAAGTCAAACTGTCCCTGTTTGCAGACGATATGATCCTATATATCGAACAGCCCAAATCATCTACAAAAAAACTCTTAGAGGTGATAAAAGAGTTCAGCACAGTAGCAGGATACAAAATCAACACACAAAAATCAGTAGCATTTCTATTCACCAATAGTGAACAAGCAGAAAGAGAAATCAAGAAAGCCTGCCCATTCACAATAGTCGCCAAAAAAATAAAATACCTAGGAATTGAACTAACTAAGAATGTGAAAAATCTCTATAACGAGAACTATAAACCACTCCTGAGAGAAATTAGAGAGGATACAAGAAGATGGAAAGACATCCCATGCTCCTGGATTGGAAGAATCAATATAGTGAAAATGACTATACTACCCAAAGTAATATACAAATTCAATGCAATCCCCATCAAAATTCCAATGACATTTCTCTCAGAAATGGAAAGAACTATACAGTCATTTATCTGGAATAACAAAAGACCACAAATAGCCAAAGCAACGCTAAGCAAAAAAAATAAAGCTGGAGGTATTACTCTACCTGACTTTAAACTATACTACAAAGCCACAATAACCAAAACAGCATGGTACTGGTACAAAAACAGAGACACTGATCAATGGAATAGAACAGAACACCCAGAAATCAACCCACGCACTTACTGCCATTTGATCTTCGACAAAGGCACCAAGCCTATTCACTGGGGTCGGGACTCCCTCTTCAGCAAAGGGTGCTGGGATATTTAAAACATATCCGTGGAATCGCATCTTTACCATAGGTTGAGAAATAAATATATCCATATTTATGATTTTATAACTTATAATGCATTTATAATTTCACAATTTTATAATTAATCAGATGTACTTTGTATGTGCTGAATGACACTTGGAAATGTAGATAAACTATAGCTTTTACAGAGCAGTTCATCAGCTCTACTTATCACTTATTGTTATTCACAGAAGGCTTCCCTCTCACGTGAAGAAAACATAAAAAGTAGGGTAATTCTGGGGGAAGAAAAAACTAAGGACATAGAGGCAAAATTTCCCAACTGGGAGTTTTAATTTTTTGTTAATTGATAAAAATAGTTCAATAATGTTAATTATTTTCTTTCCTTCCTTCGTTCCTTCTTTTCTTCCACTACAGGCAAAATTCCCATGATTAGATTTGAAACCTATACTGTATAAATTGTTTTCTTATGCTCTATTCTGGTTTTATTTCTCAGGTTTCCCTCTGCATAGAGTTAATACAGTATTTCTATTAACATCAGCGTTTGCAGTTACAAAAAAGTATTT